GGCTGTGTGATGAGTGGTTCTATACATCCTGAACTGTGTGATGAGTGGTTCTATACATCCTGGGCTGAATGACACTGGTTCTGTACCTCCTGGGCTGTATGATGAGTGGTTCTGTACCTCCTGGGCTGTGTGATGAGTGGTTCTATACATCCTGGGCTGAATGACACTGGTTCTGTACCTCCTGGGCTGTGTGATGAGTGGTTCTGTACCTCCTGGGCTGTGTGATGAGTGATGAGTGGTTTATACATCCTGGGCTGTGTGATGAGTGGTTCTGTACCTCCTGGGCTGTGTGATGTGATGAGTGGTTCTGTACCTCCTGGGCTGTGTGATGAGTGGTTCTATACATCCTGGGCTGTGTGATGAGTGGTTCTATACATCCTGGGCTGTGTGATGAGTGGTTCTATACATCCTGGGCTGAATGACACTGGTTCTGTACCTCCTGGACTGTGTGATGAGTGGTTCTATACATCTTGGGCTGAATGACACTGGTTCTGTACCCCCTGGGCTGTGTGATGAGTGTTTCTATACATCCTGGGCTGAATGACACTGGTTCTGTACCTCCTGGACTGTGTGATGAGTGTTTCTATACATCTTGAGCTGAAAGACACTGGCCATCATTTAACCTAGAAGAGGAGGACCATCTGGTGGAAGAGCGGACCTTCTGTGGATGACAGAGCTGGATTCAAGGTGAGTATTGCAGTAAAAGCTTTTTTAAAAGGCCAAGTTCACCCCTTTTTTTCTAAATTCCAGCTCCCCTATGTACCAGTATACCATTAATGTACCTCTGTTGCAGAAAAATAAAAGCTTTCTCTGACTTTTAGAACAAGGCCTTACCTTAGCCCCTGGTGTGTTTCATAGAAAACTTCCTGGTAGATTTTGGATGTGAATACCAGTGAGACACAGGAAGCAGTTCAGCAGCTCACCTTATTAGCACGCACATCCTGCACCCATCAACTATGTTTGCACAGCATCCCCAGCCTCCCCCAGGTGTGCATTTGCCTAGCTTGTCAATGTACATTGCCACAGCTGCTATGTTTGCATGGCATCCCCAGCACCCTTTCAGACTAGCCCAGGGTGCGTGCTAAACTCTATGGGGCTGCGGGTTGGACACCTCTGATGTAGTGCAAGGGCGTGCCTGATTGGACACAGAGTGAATGGATAGATAGGTGGGTCCACCTATTTCATAGTTTAGGTAAATCTAAGGCCTGGTTCACACAACTGCATTTTTTAGTGCATTTTGTAGAATCACACTGCAGTCCATTTAACATGGTTTCTTATGGGACACATTTATGCTTTTTTGAGCCATTGCATTTTTGGAAAGGGTCAGGGACTTTTTTTTTTTAAACGCGAAACATTGCATTTTTGTCTCAATAGACTGCAATGGAGATGCCAAAGAAAACACATGTAGTGCGTTTTTGACACTTTTTTAAATGCATTTTTTTACGTAGTTTGTGTTTTTAATCTGCCCAGCAACAATTTTGTCCCCAAAAAACATGAAACCCATCCAGAATGGTTCAAAAAATGCAAAATTAACCACAAAAAGTACTGCAAAATGGACAAAATGCATACTGCATTGGCGTGGACCAGGCCTACAGGAAATTGTACAAAAGAAAAAGGTGATCTTAGGCTTTAAATTTGAAAAACTACTGAGTTGTTTTTTTTAATTAGAATTTTTCCTAAATGGCGGCGCGGGTAGGGCACGCGCGTCCCCTTCCTGAAAATGCAAAATGACGTATATATAAGTGATTCTGCACACTGGTGCCGCCCTGTAGCAGTATATCTGCTATAGGGTGGTGCTTAAGCAATTAATGTATAAAATGGTATTATACTCACAAGTGGATAAATACATGTTCATCTCATGACAGCAGCAGAAAGCAATCAGCAAAGCATCAAGATGTAACAGCCGTGACCTGTGTAATTTGCAGGTCAGTACCACCTCCGGCCACTGGGGACACCAAATGTTGGAAGGTCAGCCATGTGCGACTTGGTTGTGGTCCATTCTGGAATGCATCATTATTCCATGCCCTCTGTGGGACTCATGCGTTCCAGATTGGAGTGCTCCTTTGTATGGGGGATTCGTGGTGGTTGGGCACCCCCTTTTCGGAGTCCTGACACCATGATCTACTGGTCTCTTGTCATCGAGACCGCTCTACAAGACCATCACCACGTGACATCATATTACTAGAAACTTGATTGCAGGTGGGGTCGGGAGCACGTGGAAAGCCGGCATCTGCATGTGGATTTGCGCTCCTGACATGAATATACACAGTAATGCTGGCCATAAACGTGTAGATTTTCAGATGAGAATATTAGTACAAAAAGTTGTACGAAAATTCTTTAAGCATTTGGTGAATGGATGAATGTCGTTTGAAAATTGTCTTTTGCTTTTAACATTCGAGTTTAAAATTAATGTAATTTCTGAATGATAACCACATACACTGGCCGAAAATTTGTTTGATCGAGAAAAGTGTTCCTTCCTACACCTTCAAATTTTCCCGTCACTGCTGTCAAAAACAAAACATCGATTTGACCCCACGAACAATTAGAAAATCAAAGGAATATTTTTGAAACTAAAATTCTCAAATGAAAATCTCTACATGTATGACCAGCTTTATGGGTCAGAGGCTCCATATAATATGAATAAGCAAATGGCACAAAGAATATCTTCATTTAGATAATGGGTAAGCCCAATTCACTTGATCATTTTTTTATTGTATTATTTTCTTTTCTTATTGTGCATGACTTTTAGATTGGATGATGGTGTCATTATTTTGGGGCCGTGCATACTCTTCACAGTCTACACATAGGAGCTGTCATTTAATGCTATGGGATACACAGGGCTAATCCCCGCCCACAGGTGACCTGGAAACACCCCCAGACTGATTGGTGGGTTTAATATCATACACTTTATATCAGTCTGGGAGCAGCTAACAGACTTGTGGGCTCTGAGGGAGAGAGGATAAGTCCTCGAAACGCGTCAAACTGTTGAGATTCCATCGCTCTGTTACATCTTGATGTTTTGCAGATTGCTTTGTGCTGCTGTCATGAGATGAACATGTATTGTTCATGAACATACATGGAGATCATATCCCCCCTTATGTATTATACATGGAGATCATATCCCCCCTTATGTATTATACATGGAGATCATATCCCCCCTTATGTATTATACATGGAGATCGTATCCCCCCTTATGTATTATACATGGAGATCATATCCCCCCTTATGTATTATACATGGAGATCATATCCCCCCCTTATGTATTATACATGGAGATCATATCCCCCCTTATGTATTATACATGGAGATCATATCCCCCCTTATGTATTATACATGGAGATCATATCCCCCTTATGTATGTTATACATGGAGATCATATCCCCCCTTATGTATTATACATGGTGATCACATCCCCCCTTATGTATTATACATGGAGATCATATCCCCCTTATGTATTATACATGGAGATCATATCCCCCTTATGTATTATACATGGAGATCATATCCCCCCTTATGTATTATACATGGAGATCATATCCCCCCTTATGTATTATACATGGAGATCATACCCCCCTTATGTATTATACATGGTGATCATATCCCCCTTATGTATTATACATGGAGATCATATCCCCCCTTATGTATTATACATGGAGATGATATCCCCCTTATGTATTGTACATGGAGATCATATCCCCCCTTAAACTCCTCTTGTCAAGAGAGAATAAATTCAGTTCCTCTAATCTTTCCTCATAGCTGATCTCCTCCATGCCTCTTATCAGTTTGGTTGCCCTTCTCTGTACTTTCTCAAGTTCCCCAATGTTCTTTTTGTGAATTGGTGCCCAAAACTGAACTAAATAATATATAGGTTATTAATAAATTCCAAGCAGAAGCAATGTGCTGTCTTTGAGTTCTCAATGAAGGAATGGTATAAGCTGTCCAACATCCACAGAAGGCTACAGAATGTTTACGAAGATGACATCATTGACGAAAATCTCCAATGAAAAGACATTGCTCTTGTCAATGGTGTCATCTCTGTAAACGTTCGTAGTGGATGTTGGACAGCCTGTACCACTTCTTTGTCGACAACTCAAAGACAGCACGTTTCTATTGCTTGGAATCCATTATTTACTTGCAATAAAAAAGAGTTACTATAGAGCAAGAGTTATTCTACCAACATGTGAAATTTAAACAACCTTAGTAAGTTAATGGAAAAAGTATGCCCACTTTTGCATTCCCATCGGGACACGTCTTGTATGTGGTTATGTAAGTGTGCATTCTTCTGTATGTATGTAAAATGCAGAGTGAATGTGAATTTTCCTGCACTGCCCCAAGCCTTTCAGCTACATTAGAAAATTGCTTCTTTGTTCTGATAGTTGCTTTTGTTTGATTATAACCCTGAAGAAACTTTATAAGAACAAACTGCAGAAGCACAGAATTCTGAGTGTTGAAAGTACATATATTAGTTCTTGACATGACGCTAAAGAACTGTGCAGTCTAGTAATTAATTATGATTTGTAATCTCAGCAAAGTCTAGCACATTTTCTGACAGCCTCTGGTCTTTTTGTATGCTTTTGCTTGAATGGTTGGTAATTGTATACCTGAAATACTCTTTGGATTTGCAGTTCAGCTGAAATTTGCATTTTTTTTTTAAATGTAGTAGGAAATGTGGTGGCCAGTGTGTTTTTTTTTTTTTTTTTTTTTTTTTTTTTTTTTTTTTTTTTTTTAGAAGCATCAATCCAATTGTACTGGGGAGCATAGCATATTTGTTTAGTATTTTTCTCCATACATTGTTGTAGTTCGCCCATCCAATTTGCTGCCTTCTGGCTGCCTGGACCACACCTGCTGGTGATGCTGGAACACCATCTTTGCTGCTTCTCTGAACAAATGCTTTTTAAAGTGATATGAAACAGACACTCTTTAAAGTGTTGCTAAACCCTGGACCCTGCATTCACTATATCTGGTCTCCCTGGACCCTGCATTCACTATATCTGGTCTCCCCGGACCCTGCATTCACTATATCTGGTCTCCCCGGACCCTGCATTCACTATATCTGCTCTCCCCGGACCCTGCATTCACTATATCTGGTCTCCCCGGACCCTGCATTCACTATATCTGGTCTCCCCGGACCCTGCATTCACTATATCTGCTCTCCCCAGACCCTGCATTCACTATATCTGGTCTCCCGGACCCTGCATTCACTATATCTGGTCTCCCCGGACCCTTGCATTCACTATATCTGGTCTCCCCGGACCTTGCATTCACTATATCTGGTCTCCCCGGACCCTGCATTCACTATATCTGGTCTCCCCGGACCCTGCATTCACTATATCTGGTCTCCCCGCACCCTGCATTCACTATATCTGGTCTCCCCGCACCCTGCATTCACTATATCTGGTCTCCCCGCACCCTGCATTCACTATATCTGGTCTCCCCGCACCCTGCATTCACTATATCTGGTCTCCCCGCACCCTGCATTCACTATCTGGTCTCCCACAGTACGCAGAATATGGAAATGCAATTATTTTAGTAAATCTAAACTGCTAAATACCTTTTCTCATCAGCAGTTAGAGCAGTCTTTTGACTTCTATCAGTGTTCAGCACAGCACATGTTAAAGCTTGTAGGAGGAGTTTTTATTCTGCTCTAGGAGGATGCAGGACCCCTGACCTCTGTCTGGATAGTGCTAATTGGCCTTGTGCTGATCACATGTACTCTCCCAAGAAAAAAAAAGACCTCTCTAGCAATACACACCAAACTGAGCATGTGCAGAATGGCTCCACAGGATAGGTCTTATCAGGAGATCAGAAGGGGACATTAAAAGAAGGGGAGGATCAGAAAAGTCAGGATCAAACAGCCTTTTTACACAATGCAGAGGATTAACCCCTTAGGTTCTACAGTGAGTATACCAAGCATGCTTTACAGCATATACAGACTGATATTACTGTTGTGGGTTTAGTAACACTTTAATTTACATTATCCCTTCTATTTCTGTATATGGATGAAGGCACTGTAATTATTTGAATTAAAAAAAAAAATCTAAGTACCTTTTTCCCTAATCAATATACAGCTGTGACATGACCCAGCTCTTTCCTGTCTGCAGGGAAACAGTGGCAGGAGGATCTTCTGGTCCTAGATATGATAGTAAGGAAATGCTTGGGGTAGAAATACATTGAAAGCTGAACATCTGCACTATCTGCCAACACTGCCCTGCAAAATCCCCAACTGAAGTGGGGACATGGACAGGAGGGGGAGACAGACAAAACAGCAGGATCAACCAGATTAAATTTTAGTACACACAAGCACAAACAAATCCCCACATTTCTTTTTCCTAAAATGTAAAATATGACATTGTGTTGAGTAAATAGATACCAAATATGCCAAGTCTAAAAATTGTTTACACCCGTGAAACAGCCACAAAATGATATACCCGATATTGTCTGTAAATGACACTTTACAGCTCATCATTTTAGAATCAACCATAAATAATGGCCCTAGAATGCTGCCCCTCATTCCAGCATACTGAGCGACAGATATGCGTTGTGCAATTGACTTGTACATAAGTATGTGTTAATTATGTATGCATGGGCAGCACAGTGGCTAAATGGTTAGTACTTCCACCTGGCAGTACTAGGGTCATTGGTTTGAATCCCAACCACAGCACCACCTGCCTAGAGTTTGCATGTTCTCCTAGTGCTTGCATGGGTTTCCTCCGGGTACTCCGGTTTCCTTCCAAACTCCAAAGACATGCTGGCAGGTGAATTGGTTCCTATCTAAAATTGGACCTAGTATGTGTATGTATGAATGTAAGTTAGGGACCTTAGATTGTACGCTCCTCAGGGTTAGTGTTGATGTGAATGTACTATAAAAAATAAATAATATATACTTTAAAATAAATAAATAATTAAAAAATTATTAAAAAAAAAAAAAAAAAAAAAAAATATATATATATATATATATATATATATATATATATATATATATATATATATATATATATATATATATATATATAATGTGTGTGTGTGTGTGTGCAATAATAAATAAATACATAAGAACATGGACAGGAGCTCTTAAAACTTTTTTTTTTATTGCTTTTTTTTGTTACATTTTACATTTTAAAATGTTTAATTTTACATTTAGTATTCTTTACTTCACTTTATTCCCATCACACAGAAACTGATAAACCCCTAAGTGATAGCATTGTGCAGGGGAGGGGGAGACCCCTAATGTCTCCCTCGCCTTCTGCCTCAGCCAATCACGGACAGAAAGTCCCTATTCAGCACTTGCAGTGGACCATAACTAAAATCCAGGTACTTCACTATGTGTATTTAAACAGATAAAAACATTTAATGATGTGTTAATGAATACAGAGCTGCACATTTTGTGTATTTTATATGTGCCTGGAGTTCAGGTTCAACTCTACAGCTGACACCTCTGCTGAACTCTAGAAATGAACATTTTAGGACTGGAAGATAATGGTTCACATAACATTTATTTTTAGAACAATGGCATGGCTACTCTCAGACAGTCTTCTATATACAGTGCTGCATAATATTTTGACACTTTGTAATTAAAGGTTGCTAAACTGTTTTGCCGATCACAACTAGGTTGCTACAATTTTGTTTAAAGCAGTACGCTTCCAGCGCATATTCTGCAGCCTGCAGAAAGGGTACAAAAGGGTAAACTGGAGTGTCTGAATTTAGCCTTTAAAAGAGGTCCCCATGTCTCCTTTTCAAGCAGAATTTCACTTTTCACAATAAATAGAAGCCTTTTCTAATGTCTCTTCTGCCCAAGCCATCTCTTACTTGCCTAGTCCATGGCAGCTTTTAATCTGCACCTCTCTGTTCAAAATTTTCAAACCTTATTTCTGAGCCCATCACTTCCTGTAGCATCATGCGACCTTTTAGGAAACTTCATATCCCATCATGCAATACCTTGCATCACAGAATAGGGTGTGTTTTACTTCTGTCGACCACAACTCCCTCATTAAATTTTTTTATTTCCACTCACTTTACATTTACTTACAGTAATTTACCCCCTGGCCTGGACCCTGTACAGGAAGACTGGTGGTACCCCCTTATCCAAGGCTCTTGTGCTTAAGAGGACCCTTACCAACTCCCACCATCACCGGCGGTGGTTCCTGGGCTCTCACATTTCTCCAGGAAGGGGTCAGGACAGCTTCCTGCAGGGGGGAGATGGAGGAAAATCCGTTCCCCCATCTCCTGTGTGACAAATGTAGCCACAGCCCCATATAATCCTGTGGAGAGCTATACTGCAGACGGCTTCAGTAATCCTTTTGTTTATGTCTCTCCCCTATAACCACTTGTCATCTGATGCATTAAAACATCCTGACGGCAGATGGTTATACCAGGATCTGCAGCCATGCTTCTTGGTGATGGGTGTGGCGGGGGGCGGGGAGGGCCAATTACTGGAAACTGATCCCCTTTATGGGTCTCTCTGCAGCAGCTGAAAGCTATCCAGAATAGGAGGGGGGAGCAAACCAGCTTTCAGCTGCTGCAGAGAGAACCATACAGGGGATTGGTTTCAATAATTGCCCCCACTGTGCTGATCAGCCTCCCTTCCCACATGCTATTTACCCCGCTGCCTGGGCCCCATACAGGAGGACTGATAGTACCCCTTTATCCACAGCCCTGGATCTGACGTTCTCGATGATACCCCACAGAGTGATCACTTGTGTGCGTGCATGACCAATGCTTGCAACTTTTTTAATGAGCAAGGGGGTATGGGGTACTTTTTTATTATTATTTACACTGTCACTTTCTTTTTTTCTTTTTCTTTTTTTTTAATCACTTTCCTTGCTGGCACACGGAATGTGAACATCCCATGTGACAGCAATAGGCATGTGACAGATACTCTTTATGGAGAGATATGGGGTCTATAAGACCTCAAATTCCTTCCTCTGCCCTTAAAAACATTTGATCACACCAACATTTTTTACATCTGTGTAAACCGGAAGTGATGTAAGGTCATCGCTTCCGGGTTACTATTTCATAGAGCTGGACAAAGTCAATGTGGTCTTTGCTCACCTCTATGTTTAGCCACTGGAAGCGCTGGCTGGTCGATCAGGACTCCCAATGGGACGTGAGAGCTCGGTAAAACCACGGAAGGGGGCGAGAGGGGAAGGGTGTCCCCTCCTGCTGCTTGTGCATGTAAAAGCCTCGGAAGGGGGCGAGAGGGGAAGGGTGTCCCCTCCTGCTGCTTGTAAAAGCCACGGAAGGGGGCGAGAGGGGAAGGGTGTCCCCTCCTGCTGCTTGTAAAAGCAATACAGCAGCTAGTTAGCCACTAGGATTGCATTTACAGGAGAGACGACCGTCTGCAGTAAGAAATGGTACCAGGATGATGCCTGCAGCTCCAGTGGTTTTGCAGAAAATAATAAACATGTTATACTTACCTGCTCTGCTCTGAACGATGTGTAAGTCTTCATGTACACTGGACATCTTTACAGCAGCTGTTTTTTTTTTTTTGGCTTTTGACTTTTTTTCTACAGCTAGTAAACCCCCCCAGCATGTTATCCTATGTGTCCATGCGCACACAGACTGTAGGCAATGTTTTGTGGCTGGAAAAAAAACCAGGACTAGTGGGCTTCTAGAGGAGTCTTTTAGCTTTAAAAAATGCTTTAACGAGGCAAAATGTGGTAAAACAGCGCAAAACGGCGTTTTTGGACTTTTTTTGACCCCCCAAAAATGTTATACTTTGGTAAAAAAAAAAACACTAAAAAACGCAAACCCAGAAAAATAAGCCGATTAAACACGGCAAAACGCCACTAAGCCCTAATGCAAAACCGCTAAAAAAAGCTGAAAAACTCAAGTTTTTAACGTGACTTTACACAGCTAATGTTACCAGCATTATCAAAACACCCTGTGTGCATGGAGCTTTAAGGAAAGAAAGCCTACAAAAGAAAACGAATGCAGCCGTTACATCTAAGGGCTCATGTAAACTGCAGCAGATAAACTCACGTTTAGGAGCTGTTCAGTGTTTTTTTTTTCGGCAGCCCCTGAACTCTCCCTAATGTTTTCCTATGTGTCTATGTACACATCTTTGTTTACAGTCATTTACAGGCAATTGAGTTTACAGTCATTTTTTTGAACACAGAAAACTTGCGTTCAGCAGTCGATTTTATCAGCGTTTCAAACGCAAAACGCTTGTAAACTCTTGTAAACACGGCAAATCGCAATTATAAGCGTTCGCATTTGAAATTTTTTCAACTCTTCCAGCTCCCGATGCTGTCCAGATCCTTTTTTTCATCATGAAAAATGCATGCAAAGCGTTTTCAAGGTACTCAGATGGACAAAACACTGAACACAGGATGTTCCTGCCAAGCTTGTCACACATTGTAATGACCAATTCACACCTCAGACCTCTCCCACCCTTGGAAACAAAAGATATGTTAATGACCATTCACACCTCAAATTACTCAAGAAGACCCCCTGCCAGGTGACCTTAATGACTTCCACCACCAGACACCTTTCCCACCCTTGGAAACAAAAGAAATTTTAATGAGCAACTCACACCTAAGCTAATCTCA